AGCATTTTCGTAAAGCTCTAAAAATTACAAATACAACATTTCAGCATAGCCTCCATATCGAAACGTAAGACGTATTCTACGTCAAAAATCAAAAATCAGGCTCAACTGGTCTCTTCAAAGCTTTCATTAGAAAAAGTAAGTACGCCTGGGCCACACTGGAGAATTGAAACTTACGTTACATGCATATCTATTTTGTCTCAATATATGTATATGTATATGTCATGCATAGTCAGATATGGGCACTACCACAAACAAGCGTGAGCTAAAAGTGAGAATGTGTTAGTGTGCCTAATTCATTTTGCATGCTGTCGTGTTCTCATCGCTGCGCTCTCGCTTGTATACGTACACGCGACGCTTACGCTCTTTTAGCACCTGCTAACTCTCTGCCCATGCCTGTGCATAGTACATACAACTGCTTTTGCTTAGTTATATTTTTGTCTTTTTTCTATGTATGTAGATCCCTACCTCTACCCCTGTTCGTTCTAATTACATTTATGTTATTCTGTATTCAATAGTAATATCCAACAAAATATCAATAACAAAACCGATAAAAATATCGATAAAAAATCGATAAGTAATCGATAACAAAATCAATAACAAAATCGATGACAAATTCGACAAAAAATTCTTTAGCAAAATCGATTAGGAAATCGATAACAATAATCGATAAATAATCGATAAAAATATCGATAACAAAATCGATAAATAATGGATAACAAGATCGGTGACAAAATCGATAATAAATTCTATAAAATATCGATGACAAATTCGATAAAAATTTCGATAGCAAAATCGATAATAATATTCGTAGCAAAATCAATTAGAAAATCGATAAAAACATCGATAACAAAATCGATTAAAATATCGATAAAATAATTGACAAAAATATCGAAAACAAAACCGATTAATAATCGATAACAAAAATCGATTAGAAAAGCGATAACAAATTCCATAAAAATATCGATAAAAATTTCGATAGCAAAATCGATAAATATATTCGTAGCAAAATCGATTAGAAAATCGATAAAAACATCGATAACAAAATCCATTAAAATATCGACAACAAAATCGGTAAGAATATCGAAAACAAAATCGATTAATAATCGATTAGAAAAACGATAACAAAATCGAATAAAAATATCCATAACGAAATCGATAAATAATCGATAACAATATCGATAACAAAACCGATAAAAATATCGACTATTACATCGATAAGTGGCGAGAATCCCGAAAATCTCTAAAGCCCCAAAATAGTTCCCAGATTGAGCCTCTGTATCCCTATCTATATCCTTTTCTCTATAATTAGCTTTATTTTAATCTTTCTTCCTGTATCTTCATCTTTACTTTTATCGGTATCCTTATCCTCGTCTTTTTCTTTATATTTATCTTTGCTTTTACTTTTATGTTTATCATTTGCTTCATCTAAAAATTCCCCTTCACCTTTGCCCTTATATAAGTAAAGTGTTTTATGCGAGTTATTGTAACCTTGAATGTCTAACTTGACCGGGCTATCAAAAAAAAAACGAAAAATTCATAAAAAAATACGCACAAGAAATGGAAAAAATTTTCTTCTATCAAAATCTCTTAAATCAGTTTGCAGCTCTCAAGCAAAAAATGCTCGTAGGCAAGGCACATTGAACAGGTAGTATCAGTAGAGCAGCTGATCTGATTTTTTTTTAAATTATTTGGTCTCGAAAATGTCAAATATTTTTAATTTCTTCTCACAAAAATTCTTAGTTGTTAAAATCTATTTGTATGTGAAACCTTTTTCCATACAAAACAAGCGATTGAATAGCAGCTTTTGGAACGCTCAGCTAACTCAGCAGCACAACCGCTAATTTCTGGGCCTTGCAAAAGATGGATCCATGCTTCGAGCAGTAAGAAAATTTGCTAAGAAAGAAAGTTGCAACAATTTTAATTTTTTCCAATTTAAATTTTTTATTTGTTTTTTTTTAATATTTTTTTTTTTGTATTTCACATGGCATGCTTTGATTTAGAAGAAAAAAGTCATCAGTTTTTGACACTTTCGATACCAGAAGCAACAACAAAATACACGCAAATGTTGTTTTTGCTCTAATGCTACTACTTGTTTGATATGCCTTGCTCGTAGGTATATTTACATATATATGCATTTCTTCAAACAAATTTACAGCAACAGCAAAGTGCTTTTTCAAGCAACAGAAATAATTAAACAATTTTCTTGTTATTTTTTCTTAAGATTTGGCCTCTATGCTTAAAAATAGATTCTAAAAGTACTTTTTGAAAAAATCGCCTCAGCTGACTAAACAGTTCAAACTTAAAAAATCTGCATAGAAATATAATTTTTTTTGATTGAGATTTTTGATGCTGTTTTTTTATAATTTTTCAAAGATAGTTTTTAAGAAAAGCTTGAATAACTCAGCCAAAACTACCGATTTAGACTTACGAGGTGTCATTGAGAAGTATTTTCCAGCCCTTTTTCATTTTATTGCAAATCAACACATTCAAAGTATGAAAGCGAAAGGTAAGATGAACGAGTTCCCAGTTGAAATAAGATATGTTGATGTTTGCAAAAAAAAAAAAAATCTGACGTGAATGAATTTATTTGCAAAGAAATAAAAAGCGTGAGAAAATACCTTTCACATGGCAAACTGGGTAAAGTTTTGGCTGAGTTATTCAAGTTTTTCTTAAACCAATCTTTAAATAAAAAGTTAAAAAACTGCATCAAAAATCTCATTATTATGATTCCGTTTAAATTTTTCTCAAAATGATTTTATGCACATTTCTAAAGCTTGAACTGTTTTGTCATATGAGGTGATTTTTTCCAAAAAATACTTTAAAAACACGATTTTAAAGCCGATTGAAACATGCGATTCATTAGACTAAAATTGTATGGTCTATAAAACTGTATACCCAAAAATGTTCTAAAGATTCAGATTAAAAAGTTAAAATTTTGATGAAAATTTGTTGAATTTTCCTAAATTTTGTATAAAGTTTGAAACTGTGATTTATATGGTTTTGGTTAAAGCTTGGACGGTCTTTTTAGGGAAAAATAACAAAAAGAAACTTTACGAATATTTAAAAAATCAAAACGCGGTCATTTGTTTGAGTCACTGTATGTAAGTAACAACTCGTATATCTCTAATGAAATAAGATTGCCACTATCTAAAAATTAAAATGTGTTGAATATGCAATTTAGGTAAAATATCACAATATTAGTATGTTTTGAAAGGTGATAAAAAAGCTTAATCCTGAACCTAACTCTTTAAAAGTATATTTCGAAAAAATTAATTTTGTATAATTAAAAGAAAAAGTTTTTCGTGTTTCTTCCGGGTTGCCATCACATGATCTACCGTTGAAAATTAGCTAAGTGATACTAGTGTACATATATATACATAAATATGTATATAAATTCCTATTTCGTTGAAGCTCCGACTTTCTTACTTATTTCGTACTTAAACAAATCCACGTCCGAGCGCATATTCATGGCGTCAAGATTACCTGCAAATATACATATGCACATAGTATAAACAAGTACAAATAGATTTCAATAGTCATTCATAATGCATTGCTTATCTCAAAAGTTCTTTGTTTTTGCTAAAAATGCAATTTAGTCTAACAAAAATTAAATATTAAATATGCAAAACAATGAATTCAGAATTAAAAGTCTGGTGAACTGGTGTGTGCATTTAATTATTCGAAATTATGTATGTATTAGGGATGTTAATTTTTCCGCTTTTTCGCATCCCGGGATTTTCGGGACGTCGTTATCATAATCCCGGAATCCCGGGATTAGTCCCGGCATTTAGATATTCATTACTTTTCAGCAACTTAAATCGAAAAAAATTGCTTCTATATTGTTGTATTGAGAAGCTCTCCTACCATAAAATAAATAATAAATAAATGGGTTTGAAGCCTACTTTTTTATTTAAAGTGGCATTTTTGTTTTTTTCTCTCTGACGTCAGGATTTATTTTAAAGGACTTTGTAATTTCAAAGATATGATTATGTAATTCCAAAAATTATTTACAAAATTAAATGCAATGTAGAATAAAAATATCGGTACAAAATGCAAGAGGAATTTTTTTAGAATCAAAAAAAAAAAAAAAATTAAAATTTTTTGGATTCACAAGGACGAATAGGTATTTTTTTAAGCTGACAAAGTTAGAAGAATGAAATTCGAGGATGTTATCGAGTTTATATAAGTTTTTAACTTATTATTTTTTCAAAAACAAATATTGCGAAATTTCAAGGATACAATTTTAAAAGGAAATTTTCAATACTTACCAGTCCTTCTGCACCAAAAAATTGCATCTGCTTAAATTCTACAGGATTTCCTCTTTAATTTGATACCCGTTCGCTTTCGCGTGAATAAAAAAAGTGGAAAATATTTAAATTTACAATTTATTTGAATTTTATGTTGCGATTTTCACACTTTATTTGCGGTTGGACGACCGTTTATGTATTTATATGGATAGCGAGCGAATGAATTTGCTTTTTGACCTTAAAGTTACAGTTTATTTTCCTAACTGTTCGTGGTGAATATTCAATTTTCCAGCTCCGGGACGTAGTTATTTAAAGATAAGTATGTAAGGTAAGTAAGTAAGAAAAATTTAAGTAATTTAGTACAATGTAAGCAATTAAAGGTAAGTGTTCAAGGTAAGTATTTCATTTTGTAAATTCATTATTACTATATAATATTAGTTTTAAAATTCAATTAAACTATGGCTCATGTCCTCGACAATATGCACCCATACCTCTTCTCTAAGCACATTTCTCTGAATTTTTTAAATCATTTTTGAATTACTGACGTCAGCGTGAAAAACTAAGAACGCAATTTTACTATAAGGAGTTTCTATTATTTCCATCAATGCGAATTACAAATACCGAAAATCCCGAAATTTTTGGGACCTTAAAAAGACCGGGATTCCGGGATTAACATTCCTAATATGTATGTAGGTACTATGTGTATGGAATTGTGTATTTATTCTTAGCGTTAAACATATCACCCAGAGGTTATCAACTGCAAATGCTTGTCTGCACGTATTGCATTGTTTGCAAAAATCTGCATTTTTAGTAGGTATAAAATCTTTTACGCGAAGCCTTGGAAATCAAGAGCTTTACGAAGACATTAGTTCATATTTTTTTGGCCACAGATGGCCTATTGGCTGTCGCACGAGATGGAAGAGAGTTGGTGATTGAAACTGATTTTCGTGTAAAAATTTCAATAGACTGTAAGCTGATAATAAATTTGATACTTTGGTAATAACAAAGCATCCTTTAAACAGAAGTAAAGAAAAAACGTTCGAGTACCACGCGTTCCAAAGTAAACTGGACTTGAAAAAAATTATTTTTAGTGACTAATACTTAGTATGAATGGTTTCTTCGCTTAAATATTTACTGTCAAAATTCATACAAATTTGTAAATGAATATCTTGGTTAACCAATACATTGTCGCTGCATAATTTATTAGATTGGAATCGATTCCGGGGCTTGTGGTAAACATTTGTGACAGATTTTTGGTGTGAAAAACTTAAACTCCTATTTTTTTTGGAGTACAAGGTGGAATTTGAAAGTTTCTAAAAAATCTGTAACACTGTGCAACAGCATTTTTAGGGGCGCAATAATTCCAACACAGCATAAAAGGCCTAGACCCGTATAGCAAAACCTCAAGATCGTTTTTACGGGCTAAAATGTTCCACTAAATTATTCCTCGTAAAATTTTACTATACGTCCCGAAATAACATATTTCTCTCCGATATGTATTTTAACTCTTTTTTTTCATTTACTCTAAAGACCCTTAGGTAAAATATTGAAAATTTTAAAATGGCCATACCAAAGAAATTTGACCAAAGAATGTAAAACGATTTTGAGGTTTTACTTTATGTGTCTTGTGGTCTTTCATCCATAGTTGGAATCATTCCGCCCCCGACAATGACCCTCAAATTGTTGCACAGTGTAACCAGTGATATGCAGAACAAGACTTTAATGACTCTTACAGATACTTAGACTCAAAACTTTTCAAAGTCCCCTCATATCTCTAACGGAAATCAATACACTTACCAGTAACCTTAAGAAAGGCCTTGACTTATTTAATTTAATTTTTTTTAGCGCACATGTTAAATAAAAATTTCTTAATTTTTTTTACATTATTTTAACTACTTTTTCATTCAATGCAGTTTAATCCACGCTCGTACCTTAATCTTCTATTTGCTGAACTTATTACTAATCATATAAAATATCTACCAACATTTTAGTTCTTCGCCTATCTAATGGATTCCTATACACCCAGGAATTTTTCTTTAGGAAATCTTACTTTGGCTTAACTTACGACTTCTTCACCTTCGGTTTTTGGGAAACCATAATCATCATGATGCTTTTCCGGGTCTGATGTTTCCGTCTGCAAAAAACTTGTACTCGCAGAACTTCTTCAGGTATATAATCAGTTCTTTTCTACAAAATCAAAGAGCTGCGGAGAAAAGCTCAGATAAGGGGAACTTGACTTATCCGAATACATATGTACATATATATTTTGTATAAGTATGTTCGATTTATTCTTAGCCTTTTAGTTTCATTATTCAACTCAATATACTTACAACATACATATGTCAATCTCATGCTGCCGAAGTAATTTACTATGGAACTCAGCCAATTTGCACTGATCAGTTATTGGAAAAAAATTGTCAGAAGGAAACATGGCTGTGTTTCAAATATGATACTTTATTTTATTTAAATGTGCGTTTGCATTTTAAATACATAAATTTTTGGAAGTACTTAGGTATTAAGTAAATCAAAAATATATAAATTTTAAATATATCTAAGACAATATTTCAAATTTACGATAAATAAAATTTTATGATAAGGACTATTCTTGTTTTTGTACGAATCGAATTTTTAAAATTTTTTTACCGAAAATGATAGGAAAATTTCGTAATTTTCGATTCGTATGAAAACAAGAATACGCCTCAATGTATGTAAATTATTTGACTCTTTATTTTAAGTAATAAATACTTATTTTTACGTTCTATCAAGAACTGAGGAAAATATTTGTCTTAGTCTTAGTTTTAACTGGACTGTGATTTATAGTGGCTTAAAGCCAAAAATTTACTTCTGAGTACTACGAATAATACTTCTAATCACAAAGGCTCTTACTAACCGACAGAGAAAATACATACTAAACTTCCCGAAAAATAGTTCTGTTCCTATGGCACAGCATTTATTTAATCCTTATTTACTTATCTCTTCTCCAACTAGGTCCAGTGTGAGAAACCTACTGGCTTTGTAAGGCCAAATTTAACTATACAAAGCTATCTAACGCACACGATTTTTAAAAGTGTACTAATTCAAAAATTTTGAGAAATTTCATATAGAAATAATTTATTTGGGATCGGATTGAACGGGTCTATACTTTAAAGCGTTTCAGCAGTAATATTACCCAACTTAAAAAATTCTTGAGGTCTTCTTACTTATGAGTACGTATGTACATACAGATGTACATACAGATGTACATATATTAGAGTGCATCACTTTACACACAAAAAAAGGGTACAGTTTCCCACTGGAACTATAAAATTTATATTGGGGTAATCACACCTGCCTAGTTATCAGGTTATGTGGTTATATTTTTAGCAAACGTAAAAGTCTCTAAAAAATTAAAATACAAAATCAACAAACAAACTTGGTTTTTTTTACAAAAATTTTTTTAAAATTGGGTTTGGTGGTTATTCCTTCTTGGCTTAAATTTTTTGTTTTAATTTTATAGAAAATATTTTGTTGGTGGCATGAAGTTTTTGCCTAAGAAGATCCCTAGTAAAATTTTCCGAAGAGTAATTTTCTAGAATATATCTCTAACGACCTTCCAAATTTGCTTTTTTTTGCAGGGTTTCTTGAAGTAAGGGTCAAAACGACCCTTTCAGTCGGGAGCTAATGGGTTAAATATTCTACGAAAATATTTCCCAAAGAATTTTACTATGTACATACATATGTCTTAGCCTTTAGTCTCGCGTAGACATTTGTTTTAAAAATTGTTTCGACTTTCTAGAAAATAAAATAAAATAAAAATGTGAGCTAACTTTTGCAAATCCATCGAGTGTTTTACTACTGGATGGGTAACTTTCAGAAAATGTCGCACAGTGGTATATTTTAAGATTTCCTTGAAATATTTCGGAAAAATAAATATTGAGATCTATCTCTGGACCTATTTGAAAATACCTCCATAAATCCAGTTTCTTATAAATGAAATTAGTTTTTAAAAATATTCTTTCTAAAAAATCACCTCAGAATGTAGAAGAGTTCCAGCTGAAAAAATCTGCATAAAAATGTTAAATTTTTTTATCAAAATAACGAGATTTTTAGAGATATTTTCAAATCGGTTTAGCTCACGTGAGTCTTAATATTTTTCCGAAAGGGAAAAGGGGGAAGTCTTAAAATAGAATACATTTTATAATTCCGGTGAAAACCCGCAATTTTTTTTTTGGTGATGCATCCTAATAAATATACATATGTACATATATTAGACCATTCCAGAAAAAAAGTTCGCCGTACAGATTCGAATCTAAAATATTTTCGCAAGGTAATTTCGTATTTTTTTACGCCTTTTTGGATTTTTCGGATCGGATCAGAAAGTATGATATATCAATGGTCTGGTCTCGAGGAAGACATTTTTTTGTTCTAAAGTTCATTATCCTCAAGTACCTCGTTCTAGTAATTACCCACCCGATCTCAGTTCTTATCACCCTAATGTACCACTCTAATGTCCGTAAATAAAAGCCCACCAAGAAGCATTAAACTTTTGCTAAAGAATTATTTCGATAATTTTAGTAGAACTATTTAAAAAAAAATTTATTGCCGTATTTAGTTAGTTGTCACAGAAAAATGATAAAAAGCGAAAACTTTTTTTGTTTGCTTGTAAAGTGGCAAGGCTTAATATGTACATAAGTACATGTATCGTTTTCGTTCTGTTTCATTCATACGGGTATTTCTTACATATAAGTACTCTCATTCTCTAAATTAAATGTACTACTATTTGGATCCTTGGAAGATTTCTTGCTACCAATTTTATTTGCTTCATGCACTGTCGTTGGTAAAATCGTATTTGAAGTTTCTGGAAAAAGTAGCGATAAGCAACCACTGACTAGAGCACAGGCCGCAAACAATATCGCTGGAGCATTTTCATAATATTTAACCTGAAATGAGAAGAGAAGGAAAATAGGTTATAAATTATGATTACCACTTACAGATCACACCTTAAAGAAGGACGAAAGTTTCAAGACTTAAAAAATAATTCGCTCATTAAACGGACCTGTAAATGAGTAGTAAAATCTCTTCTCAAGATACGATGAGTCTAATTTAGCGTGTTCGAGAAAATACTTGAACGGTTTAGTCAGCGATCTTCTCAAATTCTCGGGTTTGTCTGTTATGCGATGCCCTAAATGATTCTAAGCCTACATATTTGTAGCTAGGAGAATTCTTTAGATCTTCACTGAGGTAAATTGCGGTCCGAAGAGGAAGTTTTAAATGGGAAATTCTCTATTTTTAATTAGCCTGCTGAATCGCGAATGGATTTGCACTTGGAAAGTACTTCTGAAATCGCACCAATTAGCATCAAATTCGTGCCATTTTAAACCACAGGAATTTAAGTTATCAGAAACCGAAATGGAAAGGAATGAGGGAGCCTCTAATTACGTCGGATCCATCCAGTGGAGTTCAGAAATCTAAGTAAATCCAGTTAGTTCATAGATCTCAGTACTGATAGACCCACAAGGAAGGCGTAAGGCGGTTTCTCTGAGAAAAATATCTATCGCTGATAAGTGGTAGATCACTACCGATCGGCCACCACTTTAACTTCACCCTTATTGAATTGGGGAAGAATTTTGTTTAATTATACAAAGCCAAAGCAGGGGCGAAAATATGGAGTGATCAGTTACCTCGCTTCTCTCTTTTGATGCCACCATCTAATGACATTTTCAATCCGCAGATCCAAAATCCTATCGAGATAGAGGACAATCTCTGGAGCTTATGAATGTAATCTCGCTGCCTAAAACGGTTTAAATGCGATAAAGTCAATCTATTTCGTGAATAGACCACAACAGCACCGCTTAGGATTTCTTTAATAGAACTCATCCGTTAAACGAATGAACGATGCTTCATGGAGCTTAAAATACATACACTGCCAGAGTTCAAAAGGGAAAGGATTGTGAGATAAGTAAAAGTTTATGCCAATAGGCCCCTCATCTCTCGTCGATGCCAAAGGGTCTGTAGTGGATGAAATACTATTTTAAAGCTTAATGCCACTGCTGCGGATATGCATATCGAGGAACTGAAGAAGGTTATGTACTATCTTTCGCTTTTATTCGGACATGGGGATCTGTCATGAAAGAGCCAACGGATTCCGCACCCCACTTCTGCTGAGACGGTATAAAAGCGGGTTATTATCAGATACATAGAACGTACATAAATAATTTGTAAGTCCCTCGTGCGATATTTTTCACTCCACTTAGGCCGAGGTTATATATAAAACTTACCAAGAGTGGAGTCTGTGGCGCCACCATTGAACCAAAACGGCCAATCATCGAGCAGAAAGACATCAAACTATTGCGCAGATTTGTTGGAAATATCTCCGAAGTGAAAAAGTAAAGAACTTGGAAGGCAGCAGTAATGGCCAGCTTACCCACCAAAAATAAGCTCAGCTGAAGATAATAGCGTTCTAAAGGACAAACAATATACAAGTAACATAAAGAACGAAAGTAATACTAATTTTTAACAGATCCTCCTACCTGAGTTCACAAAGACTGTACACAGACAGCAAATGCCACTGAGCAGCATATAACCGCAAAGCGAATACCTTCTACCATATCTATCCATAGTGAGGCAAGGTATGAAGAAACCAGGAATTTCCACTAGCGCAATCAGTATGAAATTGTAATATTTGTTGCCACCCAACAGCACCGAGTTCAAGCTCAGTCCATAGTATACCAGCACAGTGACCACCCAGCATAGCGAACAATTTGCAATGCGGAAAAAGAGTTTTCCGCACGCCTCGCGTATGGGAAAGCGTGCGCCACCTTCACTACTTAGCTTCTCACGATTCGCTAATATCAACTTATCCAGCGTTGTATCCGATAGTCGACGCTTATTCGTTTGCGCTGCACGCTTCAATATGTCCAAAGCTTCCGTTTCACGTTGCTGACTCAGTAGCCAACGTACGCTCTCTGGCAATATCCAATAGTAGGATACAATGGCTAGCGATGGTATGTAGAAAATCCGGAGCATAATGCGCCAATTTGGAAAATACATAGAAACGATGGCTAAGAGCATTTCACCGATGGCGTAGAAAATTGTAATGATGCTACAAGCGAATACACGCTTACTAGGACCCACCAATTCGATGCCAATGATGAAGCAAATCGAATAGAGTGAACTATTTGCGACATTGTCGAGGAACTCATAAACAAGAAACGGCACGTAGGATGTGGTAAAAGAGCGCATAATGCCAAATATGGCGCTGAGTACGCCGCCAAGTGCGAGCGCATTGCGACGACCATACCTGCGGAGTGTTTAAGTAAAACGTGGTAAGTCTTATGCGACCATGTTGAGCAAACAATACTTACTTATCGGAAATTAATCCACCGAGCGGTATGCCAAAAAATTGTCCCACATTATTAATTGTGCCTGTCAGGGTTAACTTCCACTCCTCGTCGCAATAAATGCCGAACTGTGTGAATTTGAATAATTAATTGGGCGCATATGTATGTATGTATGTATGTATGTATGGTATTTTGCCGCAGACTCACATCATTTGATATCGTTACTTCCTCGCCTCGAAATATAAAATTATTGCCAGGGCAATCCTGCGTCACTTCGCCATCAAAGCTATCCGCCGTGCAATACTGTACATCCTCAGGAGCTCTTGTCCAATTCGTGATTGCTCTGGGCGCATAACGCCGACATTGATCTAACTCCCGAGCCTTCGCTGGAATGGCGTATTTGGTCCATGGCTCTTCGTAAGCGCTTTGCGGTCCGTCACATTCGGTGATGTTGCATCTGAGAAAATAAAGGATTCATATTATTTTTGTCGCACCAAAGCCTACAGATTAGGTTTCTCTTGGTAGCGGTTGCTCGAGAAAACCCATGGAAAAAATATGCTCTGCTATTTCAAAATCTTGCCGCAACTTGAGAAAGTGTTTGTGTGCAATGGGGTATAGTGGGTCAATTACTACTATTGCGTCCACGTTTAAGGCCAGTATGCAACTCTCAAGAAATTGGACAAGAAAAAAATTACCATTATTTCGTGTGTGTGTCCAAGGAATTTTGACATCTGAAACTTCGACGCCTGTTGCCTTACTCTTTCCTCAAGAAATAATGGAACGGGCATATTTCTGTTGCAAACATGGGTTGCCTTGTGCTCTTTTTTCACAAAAAACTTTAGAAAACCGTAGTAGAAAGCGTACCAAATTTCTTTTTGCGTACTGCCTTAAGGAAATTTGACACAAGAAAATTTTTTAGCCATTTCTTGTACGTCATTTTATATGGAGTTTTTGCCTTTCTTGAGAGCTGCATACTGGCCTTTAGCGGAAACCCGTTAGCTTGAGTGGGTTTAAGGGTCCACTGGAGTCCCGCCATATAAAAACTTACTTAATGACACCCCAGGATATGAATTTGGAATGTCCGTACCCTTGATTCTTGGCGGCGAAGGTGACATTGCCCGGCTGGTTGATATCCTCGAAGGCCTTGAGGCTGACATAAGGTAGGGAAAACATAGAACCTTGCTACATCTACCACAGCTGCCATGTAAAGGAGCACAAATTTGGTACTGGATTTATGGTGGGATTGTAATAAAAAGTTAGAGTCAGTGCCCATAGGAAAAACTCCTGAAAATTCTATCAGAAAGTTTGGCAACTTACAGAAGGTTGCAAGGGTAAAGCAAATTAATCTAGGAACAAACACGGCGACCTAGTGACCGATGTGCAGAGTGTGCTAAAATTATGAAGGAAAAACTTCTCCACTACGCTAAATGGCACTGAAACCAATAAAGAAAATTAACCCGAACACAAATGAGGACGACGAAGTCGATGTGCCACCCCCGAATGAGACGTATTGTGTGAAAGGTAGTGATTAAGCCTTATCAGTGCGACTTTAGACCTAACCATTCCATCATAGACCAGGAATTCACCATGCGCCGCACCGTATCGACTTTATCAATTTTAATTTGGATTTGGAATTTGGAATCGCCGCAAAACGACTACGAGCCATTTGATACCAAACGGGGCTCCACACGGGGCGCCTCTCTCTTTCGTGTGACTCTTTTAATCTGATGCTGGAGAGGATAATACAAGCTGCAGAAATAAATCTCTCAGGAACACTTTTGAAGTGAAACTTCTTTGCGCTCGGTTGGCTGTAAGTCCAAACTCCGATGATACGAAAAAGCGGCAGAAGAAGGGATAGGATGGCAGCGATTAAGATCAAGATTAGCATTGAGAAGGATGGAAGATTAAGATTAAGATAATGACTAAGATTAAGATTAAGGTTAAGCTTGAGATTGAGATTGAGGTTCAGATTAGGATTGAGATTAGGATTAAGATCAAGATTCAGGTTGAGATTAAGATAAGAATTAAGGTAAAAGTTAAAATTAACAATAAGACTAAGATTAAGACTGATATTAAGATTAAGGTTAAGATTTGGATTAAGATTGAGGTTGAGATTGAGATTGAGATTAAGATTAAGTTTATATGGTGAGCTACACTGGTAATAGCAAGAAGTTTTACTACTGTCTCGCATGGAATACAGACACAATTTTTTTAATAATACATAGCTGACTATATGGATATCATCGGTCTCAACAAATGGAATGTCTGTTCTTAAAATCATTAATGAAGTTTTCAATAGATAAATAGGTTCACATGCAAATTCATACATAAGTATGTATGTAGTATTTATGTATATGTATACAACTGTTTACCTATAATTGCTCTACTGTCAATAAACAATCGTTTATTAGTAAGTTTATTACTGTTGTCTAGACTAAAAACTTCAGGAGCTAACTAGTTACATATATATGTATGTATTTCTTTACTATGAACTGTAAAACTATCTACAGTGAAACCTCGATATAACGAATTTGAAGGAGTTGGACTAACGCTTCGTTATATCTATAGTTTCGATTTAATTGGCTTTTCCAAACGGCTTTCAGCCGGTTTTTTGATTATTTTTAGATGGTTTTTTTGAAACCTTGATTTTTATATCTGTATATTGGAAAATTTTCCATTGCAAAAATATACTTAAAAAATAAAAGGAACACCGAACGATAATCTTTCACTGTTTTTATTTGTTTTGGCAGTTTACCTATATCTATATAAGTGAGTCGATTAAAAGTTGTCTTTATTCTTATCTAACTGCAGGCTCAGTTAAAAGACAGATTCGATGAGTTTGGGTCGTAGGGAGAGGGATGTTAGATGAGCTGATGTGGGTGGGCATATAAAGAGAAAGCGGGACAGTTTAAGCTGCTACAATATCCAGAATGGAGCTGTGCCTAAGTAGCGCGAGTCTCACGAAGCAACTCGAGCACTGCGTTGACGATAGGTGGCATTGGTCTCCGATGATGGAATTCCAGGGGTGAGAGTGGACGACAGCCTCTCTATAGTAGACTAAATTTGTATTGTCGGTCTGGTTCAGTAGTTGGTTTATTCCCAAGACAGTCGTTTCTACATGCTCGAGTTTTTACCGACAAAGGACTGTTGTTTTAGCGATCCAATATTGCTTGAATCCCATTAACAGCTGGTTTCACCAGCAATTTAAGTTGAAAATGATTTTTTATTTTTTGTCAATTTCCATATAAAATTCAAAAAATTAAAATCATCTTTCACTTAAATTACTTTCGTGAAATTTGCTGTAATTGTAAATTTTTGAAAAAGTTTTTCCGGTTTATCCGGTTCTTTCTTAATTTGAAAATGAGGAACCGGTTTTTTCAAATTGCCAATTTTCGAAAAAGGTAAATAATCGAAAGCCCTAATAGTTTCGTTATATTTATGGAGTATTAAAACCTCGATACAACGAAAAATTAAAAATTTTTGAAAAAATTCCTTTAAAGTGAAGTTTAGTTTTTTTTTATAACGGGACTCCAACCGTCAATAAATTCAGACTTCCTTAAGTAGAGGCTTCTGCTAACGGGGTATAACAGTTGGGTTTCATGCCCAAAATTTCTTAGTTATATCTATGGAGCCCTTTTGGTATAAAATTTTCGCAACAACGAGGCTTTTCAGTTTATTAAGGTTTCATTATATCGAGGCTTCATTGTAATTGAATAACTCCTATTATTGTGGAAATAGGTACATATAGAATGCAATTAGCACCACCATATGAGAATTATATGCATATCAAATTGATAGTCCTAATTAAAACTTCATTTTTTCATATACATATGTGGAAATTTATGTATGTATGTATGTATGTATTTATGTAGCTGTTTGATTCATGACGAGTCTGAAAATATCCATATTTGCTTGGCTCATTAACAGTAATGGATTCTTTTCCGGCTTTAATAAGTTGTACTACAATGAAACCTTTAAGAGCTGGAACCTATGAGAAGCGAAAACTTGTGATAACTAGTCGTAAAATGTTATTTAGTAGTCGCTTGTTTCATTAGGTATTTACACCGAAGAGCCGGAAAAATCATTCAATCCAGCATGCTTGGTTTCTTACGTACAATTTCAATCCTGTAAAGCCGACTTTAATTTTTTCTATTGATATTCGCTTGTAAGGTTTTGAGAATATTTATTTCGTGGGCATAAGTTATTTTGCGTTTAACACTTTTATATTATTTTTTATATGAAATAATGTACTAAAACCTGAGAACTTTTCATTTTCAACTGCGACCCACATATTTAGCAACGAAATTTATTTAACTCTTATAGCCGACTTATGATCAACCTGTCTCAAGGGAACCTATCCAAGGCGAACAAATTATCTGGTCCCTTGCGATTCTGGCTTTGACAGGTTTCCCTGTACAACTACCCGGCTAGAAATTCGCTATGCAATGCCCTTGTTCCGCATAGCACCAGGTTAAATTTCACAAATTGAGATATTGTGAACAGTACTAAACTATATGTATACTATAGTAATGTGTAGACAGTGTAGATGTTAAATGGAAGGAGTTGTTAATCGATTTATTTCGAAAATATTCTTTAAGAGGGTTGCCACCTGCTCAAAATGCAAAAATCAATTTAATTAAAAAGTTAAAAGAAATACTTTAATATGGGTATCAAACGAGTGAGGTTTAAGAAAGCTTTATTTTGAAAATATTTTTAAAAGGGTTGCCAGCGGTTTAAAAGTCAAATACCATTTTCTCATAAGTTAAATAAAGTATTATAATATGAATGACAATGGATAGAGGTATAAGAAAGCTTGGTTTCGAAAATACTTCTAAAGAGATTTTTGAGAATGCCTTATTTCGTAAATATTTTTAAAAGTGATTGCCACCTCTTAAAACGTCGAATTTAATTCTATCAGGTACTTTAATAAAATATGTGTTACAATGTGGATGTCAAGAAACAGGTTGAAAACAGCTTTATTACGGAAACTGTTTTGAAAAGGATGTCAACTGTTTAAAAAATAAAATTCAATTAAGGTGAATATTTCCATAATGGCAAATTTTTCGTCTTTGCGGCAGAGATAAATGAGATATAATATAAAAATGGTGTTTCTTTATTAAGACACATTAAAAAAAATGTATCTGTATATCGATACCTGAGTGGAAGATCGGCCTATCTCGGCAGCCTGTTCGAAAACGCCCTATCTCAGAAATCTTTTCAAGAACGCCCTACTTCAGAATGTGGTTGAAGAACACGCTATTTCAGAATTTGATTGAAAAACGCACTATTTCAGCTGCCGATTAAAAAACGTCCTATCTTAGCTCATTTTCAATATATTTTCAGCTGATATAGGGTGTTCTTTAACCAAATTCTGATATAGGGTGTTTCTCAATAAAATTCTTAAATAGGGCGTTCCTCGATCAAACTCTGAAGTAGGGCGATCTTAAAAAGTTTTCTCAGATAGGGCATTTTCGAACTGGCGGCAGAGATAAGTCAATCTTCCACTCAGGGGACGATATAGTATACAGACTAGCTACGTAATTCAAGTTGTTTTGTTATATAATTTATTTCATATAGCCACCGAAATTAAAAGAAAAAAACAACTTAAATAAAAGCAGAAAGATCAGCCGATTCGGCTATTTTAACAAATTTACTACTTTGACACAAAAAACTGAACACACAGCTCCACTAAATGTATTTTATTACCGCTAATTAGTATTCATGCACACAACGAAAAAGAGTTTTGTGTATGTGTACATTGTTGTTTATTAACAATTACCGTTGCTTGCTCACCTGTGCGCTACATTAGCAGCTGTGAAAATATAAGTGATCGACGAGACGGCATTGAAAAGCACTGGTAGGCAGGTAAGTACGAGTATTACGATCTGGAAGCGTCCGAATTCTCCCAAACGTATAAGTATGGCATCCAATGTGGAGTCATCCTTGCTGCTAGCGGCAGTTGGAGGCAATGATTCAGTGCTCTGTGTGGCACTTGTTGGCGAAGGCATATTTATGTACTTATAGAGTGAAATTTATTTATTTTTTTTTCGGACGAAAATCGGTTGAACGGAAACGTGAAACGTCGTTTGAAAGATACGAAAAGATTGCAGCTTGAAATTTAACGGTGCACCACTGCCTTAAAAAATGCCTCCAAATAATAATTTTATATTTAATTTGGTTTTAAAATTTTGTGGACATATTTTTAAGTAATTATTTTGTTAATTAAAACACTCTGCAAGTGTATTTAAAAATTCACTTAAATTTATATTTTTTTATTTTTTTATGGTTTATAGTAAATTACTGTTATTGCCCTTTTTGGCACGTGCTCACGTTTAGTTCATGCATAAGCACACACGCAAATACGTTCGTTTACATTTACAACCGGCAGTCAGTGTTAATTAAATCACTTTTAAATTATGGCGCTTAATTAATTTCCCATTTCGCTGGCATTCTTGAAATTTAATCGACCGTTTGCTATCGCTAATCGCACCTGTTTGCTTCGCTGAGTTTGTTTGCAAATCGTTTTTTTAAACGCAACGCACGATTTCATTGCCGCTATTCGACGCACCACTGCGCATGCGTACGCACCAAAACATAGAAAATGACAAAAAAAAAATGCAAATAAAAGCAGCAAAAAGTTTATTAAAAGCAGCAAATTTCAATAAAACCATTTAGCGATCGTCGCAAACTGTTCGCCAGCACGTGTGGCATGCGAATGAAAATGCTAGGCGCACAAATGAACGAGTTGAGTATGAGGGAGCTGGGAATTCCGTTAAAAGCTTTAACAATTTATTTTGTATTTACATATGTACATACATACATACATATTTACTTGCCTACAAAACCGGGATTGGGCTTAAGTACTTAAGTCGGGTTGAACGATTTGGTTGCCCGTAGGCAATGCCCGTCAGAAAGGTTATATATGTATGTAGTTACACATACACGCATATTTATATTTTAATTTATTAATTTCTTCTTTCTCCTACACTCGCTTACTGCTATTCTTTCTGTTTGTTCGTCGCTAACATCCGTAAGTGTACCTTTCTTTAAATATTTGAAATTCCGCGAATTAAGCATTTCGAAGCCAAGCTAATGGCTTCTATTGCAAAATGTTCCAACGACATTATCAGAAAAAGTTGTCCGCTCTTTTCGAAAAAAAAAACCTTTAATACATATAATGAAATCGCGTGAATGAAAAAAAATGCAGTCAAATCTCATTGAACTCGATGTAAATCGAGACGTGTTGGTCATCAATCAATAAATGATAATAAATTGACGGGAATTTTACTTCAGTATATGCGCCCTACATAATTAAACTGGAAAAAATAAATAACGGCACAACAAATGATAGCTGTTTTCAAGTCAATTTGGCATTGACATAATTTTTTATGCTTAAGAGAGGCTGCTCTAATACTATCTAAGTGTTGGTTTTTCATTAAGCCAGCTGTACAATCCTGACAACACAAATCTGACGCCAAATAAAAAATAAATAAAAAATAAGTGCGCGTAGTATACGCGCGGAAGATATGAAACTTAATAGAGAAAATTCCAGTAAGGAAGAAGTTAGCAATGTATGAGGTGAGTTGAGGTAGGGTAAGTTGAGATCTGGTTAGGTGAGTAAGAGTGAGTTGAGTTGAGTTAAGGTGAGTTGAGGGGAGGGGAGGTGAGGTGAGTTGAGTTGAGGAAAGTTAAGTTGAGATGAGGTGTAGTGGGTTGAGGTGAGTTGATAGAGGTGAGATGGAATGAGGTGAGTTTGGTGAGGTGAGATGGAATGAGGTGAGTTGAGGCGAGGTGAGGTGAGCTGAAGTGAGATGAGTTGAGAGACGGTGAATTGAGTTGAGTTGAGGTGAGTTAAGGTAAGTTTAGATGGAGTAAGGTGATTGGAGGCGAGTAAGGTGATTGGAGGCGAGAAAAAGGTGAGCATTATAACATGACATAAAAAAATCCCAATATTTAGTTGTATATTTACCTTTGACTCATTATCTTCATCTCTACCTATCTCTACCTATCTCTATCTTTCTCTTTATCTTAATTTTTATCAGTGCCTTTATATTCATATTTACATGTTTGTTCATCTTTATTTTTGCCTTTATCTCTATTTTTTCTTTGTCATTGTTTTTGCCTTTATATCTGTCTTTGTTTTAGTCTTTCTCTTCGTCTTTTATTTATCTTTTTCTTCGGCTTCGGATTCGGCTTCGTCTTTGCTTTTGTTTTTGTGTGTTGTTTTAACCCTTCCTTCCTTCCTTCTTCCTCCTTCTCTTTCTTTTCATTTTCTTCTTGATATCCTATCTTCTCCTTCATCTCAGTCTGCATCTTCGGTTGTGTTTTTCGTTTAAAAATTACTGTTTTTATTTGCATTTTTTGCCTTTATCTCTGTTATCCATATACATACATTCGGGCGGGTCAATTTGTATGGGAAATTTTTTCGACTATGCGCGTATAGTGCAGAAGGATTCTATGAGTAATTCTAAGCAAATTTTCCGAAGAAACTATGGGTCTAAAATCAATTTGAAGTGTGTCAAATTGCGAAAATAGGTTTCTAAGCTCGCAAAAAAGTGCTTACATTTTTTATAAAAACATGCTATAAGTGGTTTTTTGGTATGAGGAATCCATTTATGCACTTAGTTTTTTCTTAAAACTTCACCAGAGGGCGCAACAGTGAAAATTTACTTAACATACTGGAAAAATTATTTTCGCGGTCAACTATATTTGCGGGTATAATAGTATATAAATTCCCAAGAGTTTTTGCAGAATGATGCTGAAATGACAGTCCTTGGCCAGGTATGAATCTATGTTTACTCGTCTTTCTTCGCCGTATTTTTTTCAATATTTTTTCATGCGTCCTTTTTCGCCGTCAAAACACTCGCTCATGTTTATTCATGTCTAGTGATGATATGTACTTGAATTAACTGATGAATTAAGTTGAATTAGGCTTTTAAACAGGTGGCATCCTCCTACATGTAGTTGAAAAATAAAGCTTTTTCAAAATAATTTCTATTGAGCCCCAAATGTAATAATTATTTTAACTTATAAAAAAATTTTAATTAAATTTTGCAAAGAGTGGCAACCCTTTTCGATCGAATTATACAGATCTGATAACATTAACAACCATGGCGTTAAATATTGAACGCAAACATCTCCGAAATCGATTATTTAAATTAAATTTTCTAACATATGGCAACTCTTTTCAAAAAACTAGACCCACAGGTCAAGGCTTTACAATTAAAAAATTAAAAAAAGTGCTAGTTCTTCTTTATACTCGCATTCAGGGTTACCACTGAAAAACTTTCTTTCCTACCAAATGCTGGTTCAAAAGCCTACCAAAATGGCTTCTTTTCTACCATTTCTTTTAATCGAGAAAACGGCGTTTGACAGCATTAAATACATTCATGTTTGTCGGTTTTTATACTTAAAATAAGATTTCCAGGTAAACAAAAAAATAAGATAATAGCTATTACATATATATGAAGTAAATAATTAGGGCTCGGAATCTCATGCAAATGCATGTTTTTATTGGGCATGTTAAAATCGAAACGAATCATGAAATTTCCTTTATAATGGCATTCAATCGTTAGTCAATATTTTGCAGTAAATGCATGATTTTGCATATAGTGCAAAAAATATCTGTTTTTCCATATTTATTGCGCATATTTAGTAGATTTTACAATAAGCGCATGTGCTTTTTGCATATTTTTTTTTTGATTTACAACCATTTAAGTTTAGAGCAAAATCTCTTGGCAAAAAAAAAAATCCATATAATTTTTTCTTAAACATTCATCTGAATATCTTCTCGGATAGCCCAGCGGCCATTGAGGTACTCTCTTCTACCTCTGTTAGATCGCAACTAGTGGAATACTATAGGAGAGAGCTGGCCTATATTTCTGATCAATACGAAATTACGCTTATGTGGTTCCTGGCACATAGGGACATTTACGGAAATTTATTGAAAAACACCCTATCTCAGAATTTGGTTGAATAACGCCCTATCTCGGAATTCGGTTCAAAAACGCCCTATCTCAAACGAAAATACATTGAAAATAAGCTGAGATAGGGCGATTTTGAATCGGCAGCTGAGATAAAGCGTTCTTCAACTAAATTCCGCGATAGGGCGTTTTTCAATCAAATTCTGAAGTAGGGCGTTCTTGAAAAGTTTTCTGGGATAGGGCGTTTTCGAACTGGCTGCCGAGATAGGTCGATCTTCCACTCAGCCATCGATATGTATTATGTAAACACGTACCTTTGGTTATGTAATACGCCTTTGAATCGCTCTTCTAGTGTAATTTAAAATATTTTAACAACCTTGTCATTGTTCAAACTATTACCGATTCGCAACTACATTTTAAAGAAATATATCTATTTATAAATCTGCCTTTACAGCCATCAATTCAATCTATAATAAAACTTTTTATAACGTATAAAGAGTTCAGAGAATTGCCGAAGGTAATTGGTAAAATTCTGCCCCTTATACATATTAAGCAACGAGTTTTTTTTTAAAGGTATTTGATATAATGGCAAACAGTTGAACCCATCCAAGAAACAGCATGAGGCTAAAACTGATATTTAGGCAGGTTCTTTAATTCACTTCCGAGTGAATTTGAGTCAAATTCGCTTTGAATTCAAATTTCCAGGGTATGAAATTCACTCGGAAGTGAATTGCAGAACCTGCTTGATTGTCTAAATTTTAACTCTTTTCTTCGAAAGCTTACTATTTCGGATTATGATATTCTTCCACCAAACGCTTGCTATAATAAGAAAACAATTTAATGTAGTTATCTGTATAGTTTTAGTAATCTATCTCACTATCACATTACTTTGATTCTGTAGAAAAAATTATGCATTAATAAATTGCTTTCAGTTAGTCGATAGAACAGAAACGTATGTATGTATGTACAGTAGGGTGGTACAAAAATGCTTGTGAAGAAGTAAAGTCCAAATTTTAATGCTCTCAACCAAATGAAAATCAATCTGCCTTATCCTGAGTTTCGCCAGAAAAAAATTCACCCGAAAATTTGTCAGCCGCCCATAGTAAAACCATGGAAACCAAAAGTGAAAAGTGATAAGGCTGATTATTTTTCGATCGGAAAACTCTGTTTCTCTTCCGTAGACTCCCAATAATAATACCCAATTGTTTACTTAACCATTTTTTACAGTAACTGTATATTATAGGTCCGCCAAAAATCCCTGCAAATGCATTGGGGGTACCCATAAAAATCTTTAG